GTAACATCATCAAGACCAGCTAAAAATTTCCTTTGAGAAGGTTATATTGCACAAAGAATTCTCCATAAAAAACTATCTGACATAGGGAAATAATTAGTTTCTAGGCAAATTTCTTTATAAAATGTGATTGTATGGCTAAACTTCATCATCAAAATGTCATTAGCCACTTTTTGTTTCTCTCCATTGTCAAACTTTATTTTATTTATACCATCTTACATCTTGAAGCAGACCTCGAGAAAATAAAAATTCCAAAAAATGTTCAATTTTTTCTTGAGGCATTTGACATATTTTTACCTTACCCTTCTTTGGTATGGAAATTTCAATGTTTTCTTTCTGCAACTTGCGTGCTTTTTCTATTTGATGTTTTTTGCAATCAAAGACTTTCATTAATGTCTCTTTAGTGTACTTATTATGATTAACAACTGAAAGCAAAAGAAATTGTCCTAAAAAATCGCTTTCTTGGAACATTTTAACTTGTACAACTAGGTCTTCTGGAACCACTTCAGTTGCAACATTTTCATCTTTACTGTTTAATATTTGGATTATACGTGCTTCTGATTGACCAGGTGCAATTACTTTAGCAAATATCTTCTCGAACTGCACTTTTCATTTCTAAAATTTTTTCTTAACTTTCTGTTTAGTTCCTTGAGTTAAGTCTTCTATTCGCTTTTGCGTTATGTGAAAAGACAGTGGACTTGCTCCTAGTGGTTCACACAAAGAACTAGCTTTTATTTTTGATTCTTCGATAGTCTCATCTGAAATGATTGCTAAATCTGGAACATAAATTTTATCAACAGAAGAACTAGACTTTACTGTTGGAATTGGTTCTACCATGTCAATAATATTATCTATAGAAATAGTTTTTAGGTGCTTGAAGCAAAATACGGCTCCAATAGGTAGCGATGAATTACTTTTATTATAAGCAGCAAGGGTGTTCAAAGGTATGGATCTAATTTTTAGTGCTTTTTTACCAATTTGAAATTTATGACTTGGGTATTGACATCTGTTTGGCTGCTTCCATCCAATACCAAAAGAAAAACGGTGGTATGCACATTACCAGTCGTTGCATGAAAGATAAATTTGTAATCGACTTTCAATTACAGTTTTTTCATTTTTCAGTTTGTCTGAGGTAACTATAAAATAGTAATGTTAAATTTTTCATCTATTTGTTGGAAGTATTGTTGCTTATAATTAAAAATATATATATATATATGAATTGATAAACTATACCTTTAGTACTTGTAAATGATTACTTATGTCAGCAGTTAATTCATTAACTTGAAAGATCCCATGTTGTTTCCTACGCTTAAAAGGGGCAAAAGAAGTCTGTTCTTTATCAAAATACATGCATTTTTCATAGAGACTGACTATATTGTTGCTCTCTGACATTTTGTATTTAACTTTTATTTTTTATTTTATTATTATTTATTGAATAAACAAAAGATAACAAAACAAAAAAATTGTTATTTCGGAGTTTCTCATCTCATGCTATGGCTATTTATTAAATTCATGTGCGAATTCTTCGAGAGGAATGTATCTCCAAAGAAATAGTTTTGCAATTATTATTGATTGTCTAAAGAAAGTATTACAAATGAATGTCCAAAGGGAATCGCTTGCGTAGCAATCATTACAGTCATTAAAAAAAGTGTCTTAATGTCACTTCCATACTTTGGTTATTACACTTTTGCCATCGCATTCTTTGAACCTATTGTTGCGCATTAAAAAAGCTTAGAAAATAATTTTTATCAAGCGCTCTTATACAGTTTCGTTATAAAAATGTCTTTTTTAATTTATTTTTAATTAGAGTACTAATTATTAAAAAGAGTTAAAGTAGCCGTTACTAAGCATATCTATGTCGTTGCTAGGGTATTTTGTTGGTTAAGAATGTGGCAAAATTAGACTATTTCTAGGACTTCTCTAGGCTTTTTATCGATTGAGCACATGGATTTTTTTTTCAGATATTGGAAGATGCATGTATAAGAAAACGAAATAACTTATACATTTCATTGCAGACCTAAGGCCACGATTGTTACTTGTAATCTAACAAAGCGCATTAAACGCGAAAATTCATTATTGGAAGCTTACTCTTTCCCTGGCTCTTGCATAATCATGATTTTTTTTCTATAAATTCAATGTATACCTTATTGGCTTTCAAAAACAATTAAGTAAATTATGTGAAAGTAATGGCTTTAGGAGATATAAATGGTCAAAGTACGGGTAAAATTTCAAATTTAGCGGTTTTGAACCGTGATTTCTAGACAACAAAAGTGTAAACATTTTGAATTTTTAATTTAAGCAGAGAAATCCAGCCAGAGTAATAGAAAAAAGAAAAAGAAATGTGTTTCTCAAATTCATATTGCTAAAATTGCCCCTCAAAGTAGTAATTCCATTCCATGCACCAATACTTTTACAAAATGGGCCAAATTTCGGCACTCGATATCTCCGAAAATAATGGGAGTTTTTGAAAAAAAAATTTAACTGTGGCCTAATTTTATTGTGTTTTATAAAACATCTGAAAATAAAGAGATTTTGAAGACATCACTTCCAGACTTTGCCTATCTTTCTCAGATAATGGCTTTCTCAGATAATGGCAAAAAAAAAAAAACTAAATTTAAAATTTATGTTTTTTAAAACAAATTTAATATTTTCAAAGTGAATATTTAAAAATATTCACTTTGAAAATCTTAAATTTGTTTTAAATAACATAAATTTTAGATTTAGTTTTTTTTTTGCATATGACATAACACACGTAAAGTTTTAATTATTTTAGTATTTCTTCAATTATCACTCAAGAAAAAGTAAATGTTAGAGGCGTCCTTTAAAATAATAGTGAAAGAGTGAACATTTTTTACCCGTCAACGATAGAAAAATATTACACAGAAATAATCCAGTAAATAAATCAATAAATCCAGTAAATAAATGAATAAAGAAAAAAATTATTTTACAGATTTATAAAAATAATTTACAATCAGTGTAAAGGACCATCAAGCATTGGCGCAAAGTTTAACTTTTGCTGGGGATTGGGCTCAAATTTTTTGTTTAGAGTTGAAAATCTTTAATAAGTTATAGCAAACTTTTTCAATAGGCATAAAAACGTAATTTACTTTCTCAAGTGTGTTAACACATAAAGAGGCAAGCATTACAAGCCAATCAGTCAAAAGATCAAAATCAAGAAATGTGGCAATATTACAATCGTAAATTTAAAAGAGCAAGATGGTTAAATCGTTCTTAAGACATCGTCAAAATAAATAGTTTCTCAGCTTACGAAAACAAAAAAAACGTATATGCTTCTCACCTCATGTTCGTGGTTACACGAATATGATTGACAGGCATACATAGTAAAATCGTCACTAGTTTCACAAACTCGAGAATAAGTGGCATTAGATTAAAAAAGACATCAATATTGTCCACCAGCACACTTAATGTCTACCAGCACACTTAAAACTGATTCAGAATTGTTAGTTAAATATTCTTTAACTTGACATGATCCACAAATATATTGCCATGCAGATTTAGCCTTCAAGTTCATCTTTGTAAAAATTTTTAACGAACCATGAACATTCGAGTACTGACTGATAATAAAATTTTTGCATATGTATGCATAGTAAAGGTGTAGTAGTGATCGTCTAACCTCGTAGAATAGAATAGAACTCCACTTTCATTGAACGGTAATGTAATCATGTTTTCCTGGCATCTCTAGTTTGTCAAGTGTATTACATTCTGCTGCTAAAACGGCCGCATTCAATCAGACTATGAAGGGAACATCACTTCTGCCTTCTTTTAGTTTCGTTTAGCGCACAAATGACAATGCTATGTGTTCTTTATTATTTTAAGAAAAAAAAAATTGTAATTTTTCAACTTTTTCTCTTGAATGACTAGATAAAGGCATTTTCATATGGGCACTTTTAAATCCCGTTAAGCAAAACACTTTGTCTTTCTTGCATTCATGTAAAACCCATTTATGTTTTTCGTTCCACCTGTGTTGAATTTTTTTTTGTTGATGGATATGATGACTGTTTAAAACAAAAAGATCAAGCCTGCTCTGAAAAAAAAATTGCGACTCAACGACAGTATTCGAATCAGTTCAATCTTCATCATCAGTCATCATCAGATTGAACATATAATGATTTTATGAGACGTTGGCGTTGTTAGATTTTTTTTTCTTTCTTTTAGAAGTGATAACTTTGACACATTCTCCGTTAGTTTATTTATATTTAAAAAGGTTTTTTTTATGTTTTATATACCATTAGGTTCCTGGTTTGACCAAAAAGTTCCTACTCAGCTTTTAACCAAGCAAGTGGCATTGGTAAAAAAAGGAAGCGTGAACTTTCTGAATAAATGTTTCTCCGTGATGCTCTGCGATAAGACCAACTGGTCTTCTTGGAGCACCTTGATAACTAAAAAAAACAAAAAAACAAAAACAAATGGTAAACTGTCATGAGCATTTTTATGAAGGTTATTACTATCATCAGATTCAAAGCAAAATGCAACTGCTTTTCCTTTCTTGAAAATTATTTAATGATCTTATTGATTTAAAAACGTACAACTTATGACTTTGAAATCAATGTACTGTTAACTTATTACTTTAAATTCAATGTACAGTTAACTTATTACTTTGAAGTCAATGTAAACAATTCAAAAAATTTCTTCAAAAAACTGCATTTTTACTTGAAACGAAAAAGAGTTAAATAAAAATATAAATAGTCAGCAAATATGTTAAAGTAATTACTTTTGAATATAAGAAAAAATCTAACTACACTAATGCATAACTCACAAAATTATCAGCTCATTAGTTGTTGTCAGCGTTACCACTCAAGTTTTTGAGTAAACCTCAGATTTTCCCTCCCAAAAATCCCAGAAATACCCAGGTTATGTAAGCAGTTTTAAATTATTGTGAAAATGAATTTTTTTTCCACAGGCACTTTCCCGTGATGGTTGTTGGTAAAGGCGGATCAAAGGATTATTGTTGTTAACAATAATCCTTAGCTAAAACCATTATATAAACTAAAAGTATACCGTATTGAACTAAATTAACTAAAACTTTACATCTTAATTAACTTACCAAACAGTTATTAAAAATTTGTAACAATTGTATATATTTTTGAATTAATTGTTATATTCTGAAATTAAATTGTATTATAACTGTTATTTGTTAGCCACTCAGCATCCATATCAATAACTTCAACTTCTGCTTTGTCAGGAGCATAAGAAGATATCGACAACCTGAAAAGCTACTAGTGAATTTTTAAAGTATATGCATATCTTTGACGTCCATCGCGAACATCTTAGCAACAGCTTGCTTTGTAAGTATTCAATTTGTAACTATTTTGCAAGAAGCTGGTTAGTTAGTTTAGTTTTCGAGTGGCAATGCTTAAAGATTGCACTTGAAGTTACACAAAATATTAAGTTTCTTCCGGTTACTAGCATCTGTTTCTTATTGTATTACCAACAAGAATGCGGAGGATCTTCGTCGTAGTTGCCGATCAAAAGTCTATAATCGTTTTTGGAAGCTGCCAGATCTCTTAGTTTATCAAAAAATTAATTCAAGTGATTTTTTGCAACAAAATTTTGGAAATTTACTGCTAGTGTGATTTATTGCTCAGAAGAGCTTGCTTTGGATTCAACAAGGGCATGTGTACCAGAACACTGTTATGTTTCAATGGAAACCAACGTTTTATTTGAACTCAAGGTTCAATTAGGAATAATAAATAATCCTTATGAACCAGACTACTTTTTTTCCTAATGATTGGCGGATAAACTGAGCTTCATATTGTTATAACGGTAAAAATTGAAGTACCATACTTAGTCTGGTTTTATCCAACCATATAGTTCACTGTCTGTTAGCCATTTTTCACAAAATGCCTGCTGGTACCACTTATACTAAATAATTTATCAAAACATATAAATAACTTATCAAAATTTAATAAAAATATTTTTTGCATGAAAAAAAAAATCGGAAACAAAAATTTATTTAATAATATATTTACATAATTTCACATTTTAATCCAACGATTAACAAATCAAAGTTAAGTTCAACTGTTAAAATATTTTTGAAGTGAAGTTTAGAATTAAAATTTTTGATTTAAAATTAGAAATTCAAACTTCAAACTTTTAAACTGATGAGTTGATTGAAATTGAAAACAAACCGACAATCAAATAAAAATCTTAATTTTTTTCAACAAAAACTCCAAAAACGAAATAAACCTAGTCTAGATAATATTTTACACACACACACAAAAAAAAAAAAAAAACACAGATACCTAAGTAGCAATTAACAATACCCAGATCTTTTAAAAAAAGATAAAATTTGACCACACTGGTAGTTGGTTGTTTGATTTTTGTTACCTTTTTTACTGATCTCAAACTCCCATTAGACTATTTATGCGTGGAATTTCTGAAATTCGACAAAATGACTGTTAAAAGAGCTTGTACTTTTGAAAGCATTTTCTTTTGTAATGCATTAGACCCAATCTTGTTTACAAATGATAATAATCTAATTTATGCTCACAATGATATAAAAACATTATTTAAAACTGTAAACACAGAACTACTATACCCGTACTTGCTGAATGTATTAAAGCAAACAAATTATCTGTAAATTTAACTAAAACAAAATATGCTTTCTTTCCATTTTTTTCATCGCTACCATGAACAAGAAAAAATTCCATTTAAACTTTCAGACCTTTGTAATAATAATTGCGAAATAAAAAGAAATCATTATATTATCATCAAATATCATTAAAACTTTTTAAATTTTTAATTCTTGGCAAAAAAGTAGCATGAAGAGATCATATAAAATATATTGAAATTTTTTATATATAAAAATATAAAAAAAATTTATTTATTCTCATACTTCTTCTTTATTCATTCTTATCTTAATTACGCTAACATTGCATGGTGTAGTGCCAATGATATAAATTTGCAAAAACATGAAATCAGAATAATATCTAATGAAAGCCGCCATACACCCTACCAATCTTTATTTAGCATGTTAAATATACTAAATATCTACTAAATAAATATTTATTATTTTCTAATTTTTCTGTTCAAAAGTAATAAATGTGCTATCCTAAAAAACTTTTATTTCGTTATTCCAAACAAATCAGAATAGATACTTAACTAGATATTCAAATAACACCGATATAAAACCCACGATTTATTTTACGGTAACTGAGTTTTCAATTTCAGTTAGAGGATCATAGGCATGAAATAAAATACTTACAACTGAACGTAAAACTCTTACAATGTTTAATAAGTTTTACGCTGAACTTCGACAGTTATTATTAAAGATCTACAACAAAACTATTTCTGAAATTGCAAAATAACCTTATGATTGATCTATCACATAAATGAAAATCATTTTTATTTTAAATAAGATAAAGTTAAATGTACTTAGCAACTTTTTAAATTAATTTATGTCTTTGTTGTTGAATATTTGTTTTTTGATCCTTTTTGGCTTTTGTTTTGTGTTCTGAATATTTATTAAAAAAAAAAAAAAAAAAGCTTAATTAATAATTTTTCAATAAACAAAATTTAAATATTTCCGTGTGTTTAGAAGAAGAATATGTTAAAGTTATTTTTCAATAATAGATGTTCAATTTATTACTTTACCACTTTTACATTTGTTTATTTTATTATTTAGAAGAAAGTAATATTTTTATACCATATAAAGTAGCAAAGATAAATTAAAAGTATCGGTCACATAACAAATGGGGTAAAAGCTTGAAAAAAATGCCCTTATTTACCATAAAGGAAACTTAAATTTATCGTAAATTAAGTGGTAAATCAAAAGTACTATCAATTAAAAAAACACTTTTTAATTTTTTTTATATTTCATCAGACACAATATTTACATATTCTGCAAAAAATGTATTTCAAGCTAAACGATTGTGTAAAGCAAGTATAAAAAAAGAAAAAAGAGAATTTATTGTACACCTATCAAATATTTCGTCCTATGTTATGTATGCTTACTGTTCTTGCCCAGCAGAATTTAGTAGATATTGTAACCATGTAATGGCATTGTTGTTTGAATTAACTGATTACTATATGAAATTTCTTAAAAAAGTCCCAATTGAAATTTCTTGTATAAACAACGACAAAGGGGCATACCCGGTGAAAAAAATATAAGTCAAGCTTCTATAATGAGTTCAACTGTTAAGAGAGAAAATAATAAGTGTGATATTTACTCTATATTGTATGACCCTAGACTTAAAAGTGACTTAAAATGAACTTAAAAGTTGCAAAAAAAACTTGTTACTGTTGAATACATATTTAGAGACAAAATATTTTGAAAAAACAACAGTTTTACAAAAATTTTCAGATAAATGGCTTATTATAGCTAAATTCTTTGACAGTCTAATATTCGTCTTTACACAAAAACATAATTTATCTGATTCTAAACTTTTTGAAAAAGCTGTACAACATGGTAAAAAATTTAAACCTATTACGATAGATATTTATAAAGTCATAATGAAGCACAAACTTAATCATTCTATAAAGTGCAGAGAAACAAGAATTTTTATACAACCTAAATTACAATAGCTTACAGAGTCACCTGATGGTATGTTAATTAATAGAGAGTTGAATAATGAATACGGGTTAATACAAATAAAATACGGGTTAATACAAATAAAATGTACGGGTTAATACAAATAAAATGTACTTGGTCAAAGAGAAACTATATACCCAAAAAATTAGTACTTGACAAATCTTTTTATGTTAAAATAAAAAATGACAAACCAGTCTTGCGAAAAAAACATGAGAATGGATATTACACTCAAATAGAAATGGTTCTAGGCATATCAAAAGTAACATTTTGTGATTTTATTGTTATGCATTCCAAGGATGCATTATTATTCGAAATCCTTTTGATATAATGTGATTTAAAGATGTTATAAATAAACTAAACTTATTTTATATCAACTTTTATCGCTGAACTTTAGACTAATAAAGTTGAACAAAAAAATATATGACAAATAAAATATCATTATTTAAAGCAGTTTTTTTATTATATTATTAAAAGAAAAAATCCTTTAGTTTCAAAAAATAAGTTTTTTCTGTATCTTTTGTTAATGGTGATTGAAAGTTTACAAGGAGCCAAATAATAGTCCAAATTTGATTTACTGAACCATAAAAAGATAAAGATATTTCATTACGAAATATATTGTATATCGTTTTATTCTTTGAATAGCTCTATATGTATTTGTACAGATGTAATAGTTTGGCTTTCTTTAACCTCAGCTAATGTAAAATGGTTTCGACCTTCTAAAAATGACGGGATATTTAGACTTGAATTTATGTTTGCTAATTCTTCTTCGTTTTTATTTTTTATTTTAATCTCATCATTTATATTGGAGTTTACTTTAGTTAATTTTAAGTTTTCATTATTAAAAAAATCTTTTTCATTTTTTAGCTTCAACTTAAGTTGCTCAAACTGCTCTTTTAAAATTTGACAATTTTCACAAACAACTACTTCTTTGGGACAATCGATATGAAAATTTATATCATTTTCTATACTATAGCAAGTTTCACTTTCTAGAACTTCTGTTGATGTATTGGAATTAAACCGTTTTTTTAAAGTTTTTCTTTCTTTGTTAATAATGTTTTGTTTAAATACAAAAATAAACGGGATAGATCTTTATGAAGTGTTTTTCTGCCAGAACAAGGTTTAAAGAAAATATCACTTATATTAAAATGAAACTCACATACAAAGGTATACTTCTTTTCAACATTAAAATTGTCTGCTCCTCTTTGTCGTCGAATGTTATTATATACACTAATCCACTTTTTTAACAATTGAGTGTTGTTTTTTTAGGAAAAGTAGATAAATCTATGTTCGTCTTATTTGTTTGTCGAACCTAGCATTTTTACACGTTTGTACACAGTAGTATTGACCCCTACCACCACTTTCCAGCTGTTTAGGACAGGTTTTAGTTAAACCAATATAAACCTTCTCTTCCGCAACTTCAAGACTTATTTTTTAAATTCTTTTTTAAAGTAAAGAAAAAAAAAACATTATTAAGATTAACAACAATAAATAAACAAACATAAAAAAAATCATGTTCCGAAGCAAAATAACATTTTTGTAACAAATAAAAAGCAAAAGATGTTAAAATGTTCTATTATGAAATTTTATATTTTGTCATGGGTCGCTTCGATTTCAGAAAGCCGTAACATTACATCATAGGAATTCGGGATTTGCCAATTGCTATATATACTTTTTAAAATAACAATCAAGTTAAAATGTTAAATATGAACACCTAATCAAGTTAAAATGTTGAATATGAACACCTAATCTTTCTCAATCCTTCCGTCAAAAGGCTTTCTTATGGAGTCATGCATCATATAGGAATTTCCAAAGATATCTATGGTGTGCCAAAATTAAACACGGTTTGAATGTATTGACTTTTTTGCTGACTAAATACCCCAAAATTGCCCTTTTGAGGGTTGATTCTATATATATTGAAAAATCCAAAACAATGATTTTTAAAATCCTGCATTAAAATCCAAGGAAGATTTTTAGCTTCGAAATTACCGACTTTTCTCACTTACTTACTCAAATACTTAGTTTTGAAATTGTAAAGCCTGAAATTAGCTAAAATATGATAATATATACTTTGTTATGTTGCTATAAAAAAATTAATAGGTAACAATAAAAAAATACGCAATAAATATGTAAAATTATTATTCACAACATTTCTAAATTTAATTATCACAAATATCTTCATTGAACCTTTTTGAGCTTCTTTGAATTTTTTGCAATTGTAACCAACAACACACTTCAACAGCTGTTTGGAATAATCTGAATAAGAGATAATCCTTTTAAATCTTTGCCAATGAGGCTTGAAGTTTGAACGGAATGTCTCTGTTGCTTGCTCACTGTAAATTCCAAGACCAGTTTTATGGTGCTTTAGAAATTGTGGAACATGGGAAATCACAGCATGAAATTTTGGTGTTACAGAAACAGTCAACTTTAGATATTTGCTCTTGAACACTAAAATCTTTTTCTTAAAGTTTGGAAAGAGTGAACATTCAAAACAAGAATTAGCAACTTGGTGAAACAAATGTGAACATAAGAGATAGATGATGTTTCAAATGCCTTATCAGCTACGGTTATCAGATTGTCAATTTTTTTCAGCAACTTCATGCAATCATTGCCATTGATGTGAACACCATGGTGCAGCTGTAATGGTATATGTATTGAAGTCAATCATTCTTTTGTTTTTGGTAAAACTTGAACCAAGTGCCTAATAAAATGTTTAACAACGCCAAATAGCAAATGAGGTTCCATTGGATTAATAGCTTCTAGGATTAGCTTTTCATCTGGAAATCGAAAAATTGGTGGATGAACAGCATTCGCGAATTCTTTTGATTTCGTTAGATCAGCACTGTATAAAAAAAACTTTTGATGTTGCTCTCTGATTGTTCCAAATGTTCTGAGTTAGCCACAGTAGTTAAAAT